TCAACCACACCAGGAGCCACTGCTTTGACAGAACTATTTTACACACCTCAACCATAATGTGATTTGTCATTGCTTTCAGAGATGTGGTGTGCAGCCAGCCAGGCTTTCACAGGGTTTTTTGGCCTGTAACAAAGTTCTATTAGATTATTTACTCTCTCCCCTTGACTGTGGCAGCTTCTCCCTGATGTGCCCCTTGAATGGAAGCAATGCTTTCCCACAAGCCCCCATGCCTTCCTTCACATCCCCTTCTTGTCCCTGATGGCTTGATTTCCAGAGGTGATGCTATCCTCAGGCCCTTCCGCTCCTTGAAGAAGTAGGACTGCCCAGGCCTCTTGAAAACCAGGCCAACAATACAGAGAGGAGTAATTGCAATCTTTGTGGATGGCTCCAGGCCATGTCATAATACACTCTGTTAAGTGAGGACAAAGCCCATGCTGGAGGGATGAGCAGTTAGAAGTGATGCAGGCCTGGCATGAGGAAGGAAACACATCAGTCTATTTGAACTTTTTTACCAGTGTGTGGTGAGAGGGAGCTCAGCAAGGATGAACATTCTGCCTGTCTTAAGGCAGGTAGGGCATGCTTCATCCCAGGAACTGGCAGAGGTGAGGGATACTGAAAATGCTGATTTAAACCAAGGTACTGCTCTGCATTAGGCACTCATAGGAAATTTACACTTGTGTGGTTTGAAGTTGCATTCTCTTTATAATGAGTTTTGCTTATACTATGTACAAATGATAATTAGGGACATACCTCAATATATCTTCAAAAGGTACTTGCTTCCTCAAAGTGCAGAAGCCTGCAGGCTGAGAACTGATTTTTGTCCAATTTTATTTACTAAAACTTCTTTAATGAGTATTTATACCTGAATAAGAGATGTGGAACTAGGATCACGTTTATGTAAAATAGGAGTGAATTTAGGGATTGCAGCAAACTGCAGCACTTCCAGCTCCTGCAGAGTTTGTGTATTTCTGGTTTGTCACGTGTAAATTGACCTCTCAACTGCATCTGTGAGCACCTAAGCATATCCAGTGGCTTGGTCTTGCCATAAGGGGGAAGTCTTGTTCCTTCTTTTCCTTCTCCTCTAACTCAAACTTCTTCCCAGCCAAAGAACCTGCCTCCTCATCTGTAGTGGCTCTGGAGTTTATTTGACTTGCCTGTGAGCTAATACAACTCAATGACACAGCAGAAAACCGGGCAGGTGTTTCATTCAGGATCACATTTTGTTTGGTTAGTGACCAACTCTGGTGACTGAAGGGCTTCATTCATTCACAGGTAGCAGGGCTGACAAAAGAGAGATGATGGGATTGCATGTCTGGGAACAGGGCCTCCTCACTCTGGTGGAGGGGAACTGCTGGCTTAGGGATTGCCATCCTAGGAAGATGAAACCCAAGGTGTCCAGCTTGAGTACCAAACTCCATTCTAGGCATCTGAAAATGCAGTTTAGTTGTTTTACTTTGCACAAGCACAGCTGAGGCCAGTCCTGTGCCCCTGGAGCGGAACATCTCCAGCAGCTTCTCCAAGCCCTGCTGCCCCCCTGCCTGCCCCTGGCACTCTTCCCATGCTGGCTGGCAGAAATTTGTGTGCCTTCCCTGGGAACTGGTGCAGCTGAGAAGTCACTTGTGTGGCCAGCTCACTTGCAAAGAGCTGTGACAGTGCAATGCAGGGCAGAGCAAGGGACAGGGATGGGCTGTTCCAGGCTGAGCCAGAGCAGAGCCTGCACATGTCCAGCTGCTCCTGACTGCTGCTCTCACAGAATGCTGCAAGTCAAAGGCTGTGACCCCTAGCAGCACATGCTGTGCTTCAGCTGTGCCCGTGTTTGCCTTCTGCCCTAACTACCACCAACAACAGGCCCTTGGACAAGAGGTTAAATGGGGTGCTTGGGATTTCCTCATTCTTGACTGGGAGAAAAAAGACAGTGGGAATGCCTGAGATGGAGGGTGGGTTGCTGCTGTGTGTGTACATTACTTGTATGTTACTTACTTCTGCTATAACCGTGACATTACAAAATGCAAAGTGCAATGTAGGCTTCCAAGGTTCCAGTTGTCCTTCCTCTTCTAGTCAGGTAAAACATTTTATTGCACTACTTTGCTGCATTTTGGGTCATGGTAAACTGTAAGCTCCTTGTGGCAGAGAGGGTGTCACTGGTGTGAGGCACAATGCCCCAGATATTGGAGCTCTAGCAGCAGTGGGGGCCTCGGGGAGTGCCTGTCACAGAAAGGACAGGAAGGAAGAGTTTCACTCTTGTTGAGTGCAGAATTAGTCATGTCTGAGACTGCTTGATTTTTGCCAGCCTTTTTGAAGGATTTCATCTTTGCCTGTTGCCTATGCAGCTCCTCTCCCTCCATCTCCACCAGCTACCCATCACCTTTAGACCCCCCTCCTACTCCTCTGTTTTGATTCCATGCCTGATCCTTCCCTTTTGTCAAGAGATCACAAGCTCCTGTCCCTCATTCTCTGCATCTCTCCTTTCTGACCTCCCTGACCTTCCTGACCAGCCTGCCTGCTGACTAGGGCTGCAAATAAAGGTTAGGTAATGAGCAAACTCCGTTTCCCCAGATTTAAAAGAGAAACATCCAATATTGTCTTCTTCTAAATGCAGAGGCAGATAAATTAAACCAAAAGGTATTTGGAGCTGGAGTGCAAAGGGGAGATGAGAGGTGGGAGAAGAGGCCAGCAAAAGCCACCCCTCTCCTTTGGAACTGTCTTTGGCTTACCAGGAGTACAGGTTAAGGTGAGAGTCCAGATTGCTTTGGCAATACCCTTTTATACCACATGTAGTGACTCTTGCTCAAAAGCAAGTATATGGACTTGATTAAGCTTATGATTGTTGAAAGGTTTTTTTCAACTAATTGAATCCAAATAAACTTACTATCTGGAGGAACCAGGAATGTCTACAGCAGGGCTAAAGAGATGGAGAGTTCCTCTGGGTTTCAGTGTACTGCCATGCTTTGTGCATCCCTTCTACAAGACTCAATGAAAACTGTATTTTGCTGATGACATCAAACTGTGCCAAAAGATACAGCTGAAGGGGAGTAGCTGCTAGAACATTAGTTTCCAGTCTTTTTGGACCTACAGCCTACTGCTAGCCTCCAAAATTTCCTACAAATCACAATTTCACAACTCATACTTTAAACTGAAAACACTACAGAGGCACCAAATGGCGATGACAGCCTACCCACTCTCTATAGGACATCAACAAGGCTTGAGTAGAGCAGGAGAACCACTGGTCAAGAATGAAGGAATGCAGAGGTGGAACAAAAGTGCTGATTCAAAACTCCACATGTGCAAATCTTCACTGACTACAAAACCAGTTGGAGGTGAAAGAGTCTCTGGGGTAGTTGGGTTCATTGCAGACTCACCATGTGGGATGTGGTTACAGATGTCAGGGGTTTCACAAAGTCTTCTTTATTCTAACTAAATGATTTGGTGGGAACTTTCGGCAAGAACTACAGGTAAAAGAAACCTGAGAAAACAAAGTCTGAGAAAAACATCATTAGGTCAGCTACAGTGCCAGTAAAGTGGCATGTCAAGAACGGAGAAGAGAGGCAACACCAGACTGGTAAAATGGCAACCATCAGCTGGATATTACAGGAACTGGCAGGTTACATGCCAGAATAATATGCATTTTGTGGCAGGGGCCACGTGGACAAACTGGGATGGACTGGACTCTGCTAATCATGGACTATGTCACCCAGTGCAGACAGAAGTTGTTGAATAAAGAGCTCAAAGAACGCTTAAAAATATCAAAAAAAAAAAAAAAACCAAAGGTTAACAAATCAACAGAGGAAACAGAGGAAACCAACAGCTGGCAATCGTGAAAGGTGGGATGAGGAAAGGATCAGCTCTGAGGATTCATTGGATAGATACACATGGAGATAATACATTAGCTGTAATCTTGCCAAAGATTAGGTGAAAATGAAAATGCTGGTGGTACTGCTGCATTTGGATTTCAGAAAAAACCCCAAGCAACCAACTAAGCAACAAACCAGCACTTTCCTGGAAAGGCAAATGCTTGCTTGGAAAATACCAAGAGCAGATCTAGACTCAAACCTTGGATGCATCTGACAGCACTGCTACTGCAGAATGGCATATGGGGCTTAAACTTATTCTCAGGAAGAAAGAGCTCACTGGGTGTTAAGTCACTCCTTACATATGGGTGGAAACTCGTAGTAATTGTGCAATTTCCCTAAAAAAAATCCCCAGAGATCTCAGTTCAGTATTTTGCTTCTGCAGCCTTTCCTGCCTTTGCTGTTACAGCGCTTTTCACTTGCAGTCCTTGCGCTTCCCTACATCATGTAAAAATACGATTATTTCTTTTGCTTAAAGACCTTGGTACAACATTAAAAACCCACCAGTAACTATGCCGAAGTTCCTTTTGCCAAAATACCTGTCTTCTTTAGTCACGCTCACTTAACGAGGAAAAAAAAAAAAAACCAAACAAGACCAGGATGCTTCAATTCCTCCTTTTTTCCACCTTTCCAGGCCGGCCACCGGAGCATCCTCCAGCCGCGCAGCCCCCGTGCAGCAACCGGGGCGGCGGCCGCAGCATCCTCCGCCGCAGCGCCGGCCCGGCCGCAGTTGCTCCCCGCTGCTGGGGGCGGCCAAGGCCCCCGGGGCCGCGGCACTGCCGCAAGGTGGGCAGCGAGCGAGGCGCTGCGGCGGCAGCCGTGCCCCGCAGCCTCCGCAGGGCCGGGCCGTGCCCGTGCCGAGCCGTGCCCGTGCCGTGCCCCGCAGCCTCCGCAGGGCCGTGCCGTGCCCGTGCCGAGCCGTGCCCGTGCCGAGCCGTGCCCGTGCTGTGCCCCGCAGCCTCCGCAGGGCCGTGCCGTGCCGTGCCCGTGCTGTGCCCCGCAGCCTCCGCAGAGCCGTGCCGTGCCGTGCCGTGCCCGTGCCGTGCCGCGCTTGCTGCCGGCCCGCAGCGTCGCCGCCGCCTCCCTGGCTCCGCCGCCGGGCGCGGGGACATGCGCAGTGCCCGCGCCGCCCTCCGCGGCCGCGCTCCGGCCCCTCCGCCGCCTCCCCCGACCCTCCCGCCGGGCGGAGGAGGGGGAGGGAGAGAGGGGGAGGAGGAGGAGGAGGAGGCGGGTAGGGAGAGAAAAGGAGAGGAGAGAAGAAGAGACGAGAGACGCGCCGCAACTTGCTGCCTCTCCTCCCTCGGCTCCGTGGCCGCGCCGCTGCGGGCTGCGCTCCGCGGGAGGCGGCGGCATCCAGGGACGCTCCGCTCCGCGGGGCCCGCGCCTCCCGGTGAGTTGGGGGCGGTGCGCGAAGTTGCCGTGTCCGTGTCCGTGTCCGTGTTTTGGGGTGCTGGTGCAGTCGCTGCGGGGCCGCTGCGGGGCTGTCCCTGCGCTCCGCGCTGCGGGCGCTGCGTACGGGCGGAGCTGCGGGCGGCAGGAGCGGACACAGGTGCGGGGCACGGCCCCAGCCCCGGCCCCGGCCGGGCCAGCTGTGCGGATCTCCGCGGCGCGGGGTTACCGCGCCTCCCCGCTCCCGCCAGCCAGCCCCTAACCCTGTTTCCATTGAAATCCTATTAGGCAGTGGCAGGCTCCGGTTTGTGTCGCTGTGGCATCTGCTCTGGGCTCGGAAAGTCTCGTGGAGGACTGGGGCGAGCGGGGCTGCTCCTCCGGCAGAGCTGCGAGCGCAGATTGTCCCTAACGCCGAGTGCTGCGCGGGGCTTGCGGCTCGCAGGGCTCCGGAGAGGGAAAACAGAAACTGACCCACGGGCACAGCAGAAAGTTGTGCAGCTTGAGATGCTACGGGCGCTAATGGGGCAATTAGCTAGATAAACAAATGTAGTGATTTATAGGTGTCTGAACTATAGCACTTTGAAGATAGAGCTCTATAACCTTTCATTCTCATCTATCCTTCAGAGATTTGGTTATAAGGAGAGTAACGTATCGTGTGTGGTGCTGAATGCACGAATTGATTACATTTGTGAAAGGAACGGCCTTTGAAATAATACTAAGTCATTAAGCAATAAATGCAGAAAAGGAGTGAGACAGAGGAAGAGCAAAGAAAAAATCTTGGCAGAAAATATTTCCCCCCTTCCTAGCAGCCTAGGAAGCCTTGTAGCTGTGCTTGATTAACTTTTATCCAGAGTTCTTATTTTATGAAATTCAACTTCAAAAAAACAAGCACTCTGTGTGAAACCAGAGGCAAATCCTCCTTAGTCCTCTCAAAGTCTGTCTGTGTAGCAGATAAATGATGATTGGAGCAGCGTCTGTTAAGAGAATTTGTAGAAGCAAACACTGCTAAAGATACCCAGTAGGTAAATGGAAGTACTTTGTTATTGTGTTTGTTTCTCTTAGGTGATACAGAACAAGACGTTTCAAATTCCAGGGGGTTTTATTTTACATTTTTAAAAATTTTTCAGGTGCACAACTTCGTTATTGCAAAAGTGCCTCTCCTAATTGGAAAAGTGATTTATTCAGGTCTTAGTTTATTTAACAAAGGCCAAATTCTGCAGCCTGTGGGGCCTCTCCTGTAAGGGGTGAGTGTCTTTTGCACTCATTGAAAAAGAAAATAGTACAGCGTGTGTGACACCATGCAGGCCTGAAGTACTAGAGCAATTTTATACTTAACCAGCGTTTCAACACAGATTTTTATTAACATAAAATCAATATTCAGGTCAGCAGTTAGGATCTGCAACTTCCAAATGAGAACCGGGTCTGGAGGCAACGCATTGCTCAAATGAGTAAAAGTTGTGGGACATGACAGTCATCAAACTCACCCATCTTTTGTTTGGTTCCTTTTCTGAGATGTCATTCAATGAGGAAAAGAAACAGGTAATCCATTGTGTTTTAAGGCACAGTGCTCCTCATAGGCCTCATTGCCAGGCATTTGGAAGTGCATATGGCTTTAGATCATGTATTGTGTACAAATGACTATTACTAGATAACTTAAGTTCTGAATTTATTCTACTATTACAGTTCTATTGATCAGAAAGTGGCTACTGGATTCCAAGTCCTAAACAAGGATGATCTGAGAGTTAATTTATATTTTAGGGAGCACTGAGGAGTCCACAAGAAAAGCCATCAAGTTTTTCTTGTTGGATGTGCAGTGGCATTTAGTTTAAGGAACTCTCTTTCTTGGGGCACTGACATTGACACACAAAGGAGTTAAATGAGTTTATCAGCTCATTGATGCCCATGGTGGAGTGCTGCAGAGTTCAATGGCTGGAACAGGACAGTTATTTTACTTCCAGTAAGGATGGGGATAGAGAACTGAGGAGCTTTTTCAAAGTAGTTCCAAACCCATGGAGTTTGTAACTGTAAAATATAATGCAAGAATAAGATTAATAGACCAAGAGGACTCAAAACCATGTGACAATTAAAACAGTAAATCATTCAAATAACACTACCCATGCCCCTGCAGCAATGCCTCTGCTTCCAGGTGTTGAGAATGGGGCAGGTTTCAGGCAGAGGATGCGAGGGTAGCTCAGCCCTGGAGCAGCAGTGGGGAGGGCAGGTGTCCCGGAGTGTGGTGGTTGTGCTGGGGCTGGGAGGGAGCCCAGGCAGGGTGAAGGGGAGCAGAGGGCTGCCCCTCACCCTTATCCCCAGGTTGTGAAGCTGAGATGGGGAGTGGCCCCCTCCCATGATTTAGGGTGTGCTGAAGGTAAGGCCCTGCATGGAGCCAGCAGGGAGAGGTGCTGGATGAGGCTCAGGTTGCACAGCCTGTGGCTTGCAGGCACTCTGCCCTGGCTGCTTGCTGCCCATCCAGCATCCCAGGGATGCCATCAGTACTGCTACTGCCTTATACTCTCTATAATAATGCCAAAAAAGTTCTGGTGAGGGGAGAAGCTCAAGTTTCTTACAGGGGAAAATGGTCCATTTGTAAATGTTCATATGATAAGATACTGCTTGCATGGAGTGAAACATGGAAAGGCAAGCAGTGTACACTCATTTGTGCAATACTATGAGAAGTAAACTCTAAATTTTGAAATCACTATGCAGTCATGTGGGCCCATGGAGGACCTGTGAAAGCTGCAACACAGATGAGGAAGCTGAATCCCGATTTGGCTGCCAATTTACTGCAGGTAGTTGAGATGTCTTTGGTTGCTGCTCCCCCATCTCCATCCTGGTACCCTTCATGCTCTGAATTGCTGTGCTGTGCCAGAGGTTCTCCATCAGTCACTCCTTCCCCTGGTCCGTCACCTCCCAAAATCCCCATGTGCCATGCCAGCAGTGGTGCCCTGCCTGTGAACTGGGGTGAATGGCAGCCTGCAGGTGTTCAGTGACTCCTTCAAGGCCCCAAACTGCAAACCCCTCTGCAGTTTCATTCTGCTTCTCTTCTGTGGTGAAGCAGTTTTTTTGGCAGCACTGTTCCCTCAGTTACCTGGGCAGGGGTGGGCAGGCTGCAGGTGGTGGGACCTCCAAAGCTTGCTCTGAGAAGGTGCACCCAGCACAGCTGTGAGGTGGATGATGAGTGACAGGAGGTGTGCCTGTGCTTCATGGATGTGATATAGCCCAGTTTTAATTAAAGCAGGCACAGCAGATTATTAGGGTAGATAAATACTGCCTTGTTACAGCCCTCTTGGGTCGTATGTAAGCAGTATTCGTTTAGAAAGGATGAATGAATAGTCAGTGTGAAGGATAAAGATCAGCATTGTTAATCACTCTGGAAGTCTTCCGTGGGAAAGTGTAAACTCATGAGGAAAGATAGTGCCCATAAATGTCATTTAAATATTTAAATAAATGGAGGATAAAATTTTGATAATAAAGGCATGCAAGTACCAAGTTATGTTTGGGTTCCTGTCCAAGGTAATGGGACTTGTACAGTTGGCCTCAATCGTTGATAGGCTGTGCTTCTGCTTCATACTTTGCTAGCAGTAATGAAGAGCTCATCTTCAATGCCACCTGGGGGGGAACAAAACTCCTAATTTTTCTTGTCAAAGCGCAGAGAAAAACTTCAGAAACTTGGGGGGCTATGTTTGCTTAAGATCTTGAGCTTCAGGAGGGGTTAATGCTTCCCTTGTGGTGTTTGTGCCAGGTGCCTTTATGGGGGCTTGAGTCAGGGGAACTGAGCATCCAGCTGCAGCTTGTTGCTGTTGATACATCTGCAGGGTGGGAAGAATGACTCTAGGTGGGAAAGAGTGGGTTTCCACCTCCATTAATAAGCAGAAATTGTGCATCTACCGTTCCTTGATTTTGTAATTCTCACTAAAGTTTCTTTTGCCCTTTCATACCTCTCAGAATGCCTTACAACTGTTGGGGAAAAAAAAAAATCTGTGTGCTTTCATGTAAATGCAATGAGGATGAGCCTTTGAAAATATATCTAGCTGATGTTGATGAATAAACAAACGTGGCCAGGGTAAATCGTTTCATCTAACTTCAAGAGCCACGCTGTAATGAAGTAAATATAGATGTACTTAATGGGCTTCTTTCATCCAAATATATAGCAAACCCTTTAAAGTAATGCAAACAAATCCAAAATGGATTTCTAAGTGGCTTTTTATTTTTTGTTTTCTTAATATTGGAGCAGTTTAGTCTGGCTAGGCCAGGAGGAGAGCTTTCTCCTGGGGCTGTGCAGATGCTGAGGTGAGTGCTGGCCTGAAAGGGAGAGGGCAGTGGGAATCTGAGAGACCCAGCTCTTCTCCTGGGGTGCTGTGCAGTAAAGGCAGGAAGTGCTCATTGCATGTGGAGTTTCAAATGTATTTACATGATGAGGGTCTCCCCAGACATTTCCCTTTGGAGGGCAGGTTTCAGACATGGCTCCAAGAGGCAGGGACCCTGCAGGGCCTGCTGTCTGCTCCTCCTTGGCTGTGCTCATTCCAGGCAGCACCAAGAGCTCTCCGAGCTCAGGATGACTGGCTGCCTTCCCCTGGGGCCACCTGGGCATGGCAGGCCACTGCTTGGCCAGGCACAAACCTGGCTCTGGGGCTGCTCTGCAGGACACGTCCTGGAGTGCACAGGCGGGTCCTGGCTCAGAGCACCTGAGCTGGGAGTGAAAGGTGGCCTTGGGGCCATCAGGACACAGCCACAGACAGTCATTGAAGTGGGACAGAGGAACCACTGGTGGTGGTGACTTTGGTAGCATCCTGTTGGCTGGAAGCTGTGGGAAGCTGGAGCTCAAAGCGTGGTTCTGCAGATCTGGGCATTCACTGCCTGCTAGTGGATTGGGTTTCATTTCAAGTCTTGCAGGATGACTGTTTCCAATGATAGCATTTGTAAACAGATTACTGACTTTTTGTGCAGAGCATTTCCTGCACATACAACTGTTCGGTTTCACTGCCCTTGCTTGTAAAGAGT